GAGCTCTGGAAACACGAATCTTCGAGATTAAAACCAAGCTCTCCTCTGGGAAGCTGGGAATGCAGCCTGGCTTCAGAGAGTAATGCCATAAGCTTTGTCTCTCTCTTCTTCTGCAGGTTGGAGAGAAAGTGGGCTGCCCCACAGATAACAGCACAGTCTTGGCCAATTGCATCCGTGCCACTGACCCCAAAGACGTGACACTGGCCTTCCACTTGGAACTCGCCTCCCTGTCTGGTATGTTCCCCAGCCTATGCTGTGTCCTCCATGCACAAAAAGTTCACTAAGCCTTCAATGGGGTACTGGGGTGATTGCCAGAAGTATTTAAACAGTGCTTGTGTCATTCAGTAAGGGGACAACAATGACAGATTTTGCAGTCACTCCTCCACAGACAGGTGCACACTGTGCTGAGTGAATGCTGTTGGTTGTGCAGTGGCAGTGGAGGCAGATGAGTTGTCTAGGGGTTGGGCCTTAGCTCCAGAACAAGTAGCTTTCTGTTCTGCAAAGTTTCATGAAAGCAGCAAGAGAAATTCCAGAACACAGCTTACAAACAACAACAAACTGACAACATCCATCTTTTTTTTTTTCTTAAGCAAATAAGATACGCCAGGCCACACAGCTGTTTTTTCCATGCTCCTAACAGATTCTGGATTTGCTTCCTGCTGCAGGTCCCGTGGTTCATACACTCACCATCACTCCTGTTGTTGATGGAGACTTCCTCCCTGACATGCCAGAAAACCTCTTTGCCAATGCTGCTGACATTGACTACATTGCTGGGGTCAATGACATGGATGGACATTTATTTGCTGGCGTTGATATACCTGCTATCAACCGTCCATTAGGGAAAATGACTGCGTAAGAGGACATTCCTAAAACCCTTATCAAGAGAAACTTTAACATATTCCCAAACACCAAAGACTGGAAGGGGCACTATCTTCAGCACAGGATGTCACTCCAAGCTGGGGTGCCCAAGGCATGTGTTGCCAAGCCCAGAGCCTTCAAGAAAATGATCTAATTTAGCGGGGAAGCCTTCCAAATATCTTTAAGATACCCCTGAACTCAGCAGTAGAGATAAGCATGGCAGCCCTGATGCTCTCTGTGTGGAGTGTGTTCATGCAGAAATGCTGGGTGCCTGGCCCATAAGACCCCTCTTTAGGACTAAAAGAGCTTATGGCCCATTTGGAACCCAAGCGGTTCTGCTGAGAAAGCTGTGGATCACCTTCTCTCCATCTAAGACCTGGATTGAAACTCCTGGCTTTTACTTCACCAAACAGTTGCCAACCACAGGTGTTGGATGTGAAACATCAAAGGGAGCTGGGACAACTTCTACACTCCTCTTCGAGCTGCTGGTCCTCAATTATCTCATACCTCTTGTCTTTTCAGGAGCGAGTTCTTTGACTTGGTCCGAGGACTTACTGCAGAGAGGGGTGAGAGAGCAGCCACCCTGACGTACGATCTCTACACACAGACATGGGGTGACAACCCAGGGCAAGAAGTCATGAAGAAAACAGTGGTGGACCTGATTACCGACTACATTTTCCTGATTCCCACGCAGTGGGCACTAAACCTGCACCATCAGAATGCCCGGTGAGGAGCACAGCATTGGTAGGAGCTCGGAGTTTGTTTGGGAACCAAAATGCTACTCCCAGCATGAAGGGCTCCATCAGTGTTTGGAGCATAGTTACGAATCCACACTCCTTTTCCTGCTCCCCACTCACAGTTGCTTATCAAGTCTATTTTATTTCCCCAGGACTGGCAAGACATACAGCTATTTGTTCTCCCAGCCATCTCGAATGCCCATCTATCCAAGCTGGGTAGGGGCAGACCACGCTGATGACTTGCAGTACGTGTTTGGGAAACCCTTTGCCACCCCTCTAGGCTACCTGCCCAAGCACAGGAAAGTCTCATCTGCCATGATTGCTTATTGGACCAATTTTGCCAAGACTGGGTAAGTGATCCTGGTTCCACCTTTGGAGCTTGCTGCAGCACTTCAACCTGTTGCTTTTGTCTATCAACTTCTCAGAAGCAATTCTCAAAAGCAGAGTGCCCTCTGTACTTTTGCAAACCTGGCTCTATGTCTCCCAGTGCTAGAGTTTGCTCTGAGCTTTCCTCATCCAAAGAACACCTGGGAACAGCAGAAGCATTTTCAGGACTTGTGATCTCTGCTTAAAATTTCTGATGACATTTCTTTCTGAACCCTGGAGTTGGGGCAGGAGTTCAGTTTGCTCTGTGCAGCCAGGGCCAGTGCTAGTGGGAACCAAAGGGGGAGAATGCAGGTTGGCAAGTTGCTCCTAGCAAGCAGAATTGCTATCATTTGTCTAAATTTCAAAGTCTCTCCTTGCACTCACTTAAAGCCTTACTTGAGCACAGATAAGATCTGCAGAGAACACAAATCTGCCACGATAAAACTAAACTTCTATTTCTTTTTTCCCAGTGACCCCAACAGTGGGGATTCAAAGGTGCCTGTTACCTGGCCGGCCTACACCACTGAGGGTGGTTACTACCTGGAAATCAACAATAAAATAAACTCTGATTCAGTGAAACAGAATCTGAGAACCCCATATGTGAAGTACTGGAATTCGGTCTATCTAAATCTGCCAAAGACGTCCTAGACTGTGGAGCTGCTCCAAGCAAAACCACCTTTTAAAGACAGACCAAGTTCATTAAAGGCTTGATTGCAACTGAGGCATTTTGGCTTCTGAATGTCTTTGTCATTACGGTTTACTCCCTATCACTACAGTTAGGCAGGAAGCAGCATCTAGTCTCTTGGCAAAGCACGTTCCCCTGACAGCAGTGGGTCAATTAATGATGCATCAGTGCATCATTGGCTCAAGGTTTGTTTTTGCTTGTGCCTTGCATGATCCCTGTCAGGACAGACCCAATCCTGATCTGTACCTCTGGATATTGCTGGATTCTAATCATCCACACTTATAACAAACATCTCATAGATAATTATAATATATGCACACAAATCTCTTAGAGAAATGTTCCCCAGTTAACAATAATAATAATAATAAATGCAAGGAGGTTATTCTGCACTGGTTTATGGCCACAAGTCTCTGCTTCACAAAGACCAAGTTAGGCTGTGAGCTACAGCTCTGAACCAAGGAATTAAGAAGAGGATCAGAATTTGTTACCCAGGATTTGTACCTGGAGCTATTCCCAACTTTACAACACCATGGATGCTCACCACCTTGTCCCATACCAACATGCTCCCCGTGCCATGGCCAGCTGCATGAAGCTTTGGTGCACAGTGCCCTGGCTGCTGTATCAAAGGGTATTTACCCTTCATCTGTTTCCACTTAGTAATTTTCCAGTGTTCAGTGAGCACAATCAGATTTGTTTGGTGGAGAATGAAAGGAAAGTTCAAAGATAGCTGCGGTCTTATAAATGTAATGCAAGCAAAGGAGAGACATTGCAGGCACTCTACTTTTGGGTAAGAATTTCTGCTCAGGCAGAAGAAAACACTGCAAATATTCTTAAAAACGCGGAGAGAAACACTTAAAGCCACGTGACCAACGTGAAGCCCAAGGCCAGAGAAACTAGAACTCACCTGTGCAGAACTCACCAGAACTTCATCAGCTGCTTTCTGTTCTTTATCTGGGAAGGTTCCGCTGCAGTGCGCGCTATGCCCGCCAGGGGGCGCTACGAGAGCGGCCCATTGCCAGCGCCTGCCGGATCTGCGTATGGGATGCTCAGGGGACAGCGTTGGCTATGGGATGAATAGGGTGCAGCGTTGGATATAGGATGCCCGAGAAGCAGCATCAGTTGTTGAGGAGACTAACCCTTCTGTTTTGCACCCCCAATCTCTCGGGAAGGCTGAGCAAAGGGAGAATAGAAGGAGGATAGAGATGGAGGAGCATAAGCCCAGAAAACATGGAGGTGGTGAGATAGGGAATAGTGCCCTGCATCACACCTAGGGGACAGCGAGGGACACCAGGGTTAGCAGGGAGCCAGAATGGGTGCCAAAAGCTACAGGGGAGGGGACATGGGTGCAGCTGTGCCTACACATGTGGACAACACTTTCAGGCACATGGTCTGATTTTTGGGTGGCCCAGCATAGAGCCAGGAGTTGGCCACAATGATCCTGATCAGTCCCTTGTAGCTCAGGACATTCAGTGATTTTGTGAGCTCACCGTCTCTTGCTGCTGCTGCTGCTCCTGAGCTCTCCTCAAGCTGATTCCAAGGTAGTGAATTCAGCCCTGCTCTCCTGGATTGTGGGAGTGAGAAACAACCAACTGATTTCTTCGGAGACCAGATCTATTGTGAAAATGTTTTAATTCTTGACTGCAGTGGTGGGTGTCCTGCAAGCAGGAACACACAACAAAAACACGTCATAGCCTGATACCACCTACACCCCCAACATAAGGATTCTTTCCCTGTTTTCTTGTTGGTTGGGTACTCCAGGTTCACAATCTATCTGATGCTTCCTCTCTCTCATTATTCCTATCTCATTATTGGTTCATAATTTGTTACCTCCTGATCTCTGCTAGTTTTGTAAATGTTTATCATGTCTGCCCTGTCCATTTCCCTAATCTTGACACTGGAGCCTCTTGCTTTCTGCTTAGCTGTCTATCCAAGCATATCCCAGCTGGTCTATGAGTACAGGCCAGTGGGGTTTTTTATTTGCAAAGTTCTTTGAGTGCACACCCCCCAGGGAGCTGACAAAGTCCATTTATCCAAGCGAGCAGAACCCATAAACAGTCTCCAAGCCACGATCTCTCACTATTGATCTGCCACGTCTGTTTGCTCTTCTTACACAGCTCCAAGTGCAGGTGTGTGTCTTACAGCCTTTGGCCGCCCTCAGGGGAGGAGAGCACACAGATGCACACAGCAGAGCCTCCTCGCGTCTCTCCAAAGCGCTCACACTCCGTTCTTTAAGCACAGCGCGCTGTGAAAGCGAAGGGCGACCCGGAACCTCCGTGCGGCGGAACCATCGCACTGCGGCTGCGGGGAAGGGACGGGGACGGAGCGGGGAGGGATTGGAGACGGGCCGGGCAGCGATGGCGGCGGATGGGCAGCGCGCGGAGCGAGGCTCGGGGGTGCTGGAGCTGCCCAGCGCTCCGCGTTTGGTGTGCGTGGAATATCCGGGGCTGGTGCGGGATGTCGGCGCGATGCTGCGGACTCTGGGAGGAGAGGAAGGGGTGTCGAGGGTGAGGGGCTGCCGGAGGCCGCGTGTGAGGGAGGCGGGCTGCGGGTTACGCGGGGTATCGGGGCGGTCCGGCGCCGTGCTGGAGGTGGTTGGAAGGCGTTTCAGACCCCGGGGTGATGTGAAGGCATGGAGCTGACGGCGTGCCGTCTGTGATGCAGATCTACGCCGACCCCGGCAGAAGGTTGGAGCTGTATTTCCGCCCCAAGGACCCCTACTGCCATCCCGTGTGTGCCAACCGCTTCCCCGCCTCCGCCATGCTGCTCAAGGTGAAGAGGAGGACCGGGAGGAAGCGGGTGGGCGCGGAGGAGCAGGACGTGCAGTTTGAAATGGAAATCATGGGGATCGTCACGACGGTTTACAAATTTCAAGGTAATGCTGGTGTTTTTGTCCTCAGGGCTTAAAGGCTGATGGGAAAGAGAAAGGTTTCCTTTTAAGGCTGGAAGGGAAATCACACCTATTATTACAGCCTCCTTTCTGTATAAAGCTTTGCATAGATCTATCACACTCCTGCTCCTGAAAGCTGAGTGCTGGGAGAAGCATTATCTTCACAATACACTTCACAGCATTCTGACTCGTATAATTCTATGATTCCTTATGACTTGTTTCCCATAGGAATGTCAGATTTCCAGTACCTCGCGATGCATTCTGGTCCTGATGGCAAACAAACCTCCATGTATGACAAAGTCCTAATGCTCAAGCCAGAGAAGGAAGAATTTTTCAATAGGGAATTGCCTCTGTACATCCCTCCCCCAATTTTCTCACGACTGGACACTCCTGTTGACTATTTCTATCGGCCAGATGTCCAACACCGGTCAGTGCCTTTTCTCATTGTACTAAATAGTCCATGTTGTTTCTTGAATGGAAAGACAGTGACACATTTTTCTAGTTTGATATATACTTCCAACGGGCAAATCTTCAAGTTAAGGTTTCATTTTTCATCATATGGAGATGGATTGAATCCATTCTGACATCAGTGCTGTTATAGGATCTAAGCTCTTAAAGCATCAGGCCAGCGTTAAATACATGCCTCATGCATTTCATTAGTTTTTGCTACTGAGTGCTCAGTACAAGTGATAGCTTTTCCTGCAGGAAACAACATGTCACATGGGATACACAAGTGTGGCTTTCTGCCTGTTTCCCATGGGCTGGAGCTGTGTGGAGGCTATGAGAAGTCAATGCCATATGTTCTTCTGACCACATTCACTGGATCTGTTCCCTCCAGGCCCATGGTCACTTATGCCTGAAGAACATTCTGTGAGATCTCCCACAAGAAACAGCTTTTGTTTTTCTCACTACTATCCTTTATCAGCATGTAGGGGAAAAAAATATCTTAATAATTGCATTTCCATGTTATGCTGTCCCTGTACCCTGCTGAACTCCAGGAGTTACAGCAGAGCAAGGAGAGAATGTGCAGCCTGTTGTGCAACAAATCCATGTCATACAAATCAGTGATAAACTGCCTGGGGGGTTTCTCTCGAGTAGCACAAGGGATCTCTTTCATCAGAGGTACTTTGGCCATTTGGATGGTGTTGTTTTTTTAACTGCAATTTCCCTTCCACGTTGATGTCACAAAAGTCTTCGTGGTTACAAGTGTGTGATTCCAGAATCCATGAGGAGCTGAGACCAAAGTAAAACCCACTGCTCGTACAGCTTGATTCTTTCTCCTCAGTCATCTGGAAAACAAACTTCATTTTTGCATGTTCCCATGAAATCCTCATGCCTGTGTGTGCCATAGGCAGACAGCAAACCCAGTCCTTTGCCCTGTCTTGTAGGGATGGCTACAACAATCCCCAGGTGTCAGCTGAGAACCTCATTGGCCTCAGCAGGGCCCGGCGCCCCAACAATGCCATCTTTGTGAACTTTGATGATGAAGTGCCAACCAAACCACTGGATGCTGCTGCACAGGCCTGGAAGAAAGTGTGCACCAATCCTGTGGATAGGAAGGTGGAGGAAGAGCTGAGAAAAGTACGTGCCATGTTCCTGAGCTGGGCTGGGCACCCAGCCCTGGTGTGCTGTGTAGGAAAAGACTGCATGCAGCCCTTTTCTTTGACTTCCCAGGAAATGGCTGTAATCCTAACTACTTGCTGGCTCCTCTGTAGGTTTTGTGATTGTGAAGTTCTGTGTACAATACTGTTAGTGTGGTGTGGCCTGTTGAATTACACCAGGATTCCCAATCCAGGCCATTGGGTTTGATTCCTGTTCACTATCAGCTGTCACTTGAAATCTTGGCAAAGAACGTTTGCTTTTTCTGTTCTCTGATCCTTCAAATGAGAGGGGCTATACTTCTCAGGATACTAGAATGTTTGATGTCCAGAGCAGCTGCACTTTTTGTAAATAATGGGTGGGATAAAAACTTGTCAAGGCATGACACCATCATGTCAAGCAATTGAATGAGGAGCATGTATCTGAAATTATTATGTATTATTTTAGCTCTTTGAGGTTCGTCCAGTCTGGTCTCGAAATGCAGTTAAAGCAAATATCAGTGTCCACCCAGACAAGCTGAAACTTCTGTTGCCTTGTTTGGCCTATTACATGGTAAGTCTGTGTATCTGCCCTTGTTCCTGTCTGAGTTAGCAGAAAGCAAGGGTGGATCACCTGGGTGTTCCTTGCTCTCTGCAGTTTCTGAGGTCCTAGCTGAGCTTAATGTAAGAGGAAGAGGGAAATTAAATCTTCCTCTTGAACAGAAGTTATAGCCATGCAGGATTCAGCAGCTGTTAGCTCTGTTGGATCTGGTTTACTCTGTCATACAGTCAGACACTCAAATTGATTGTCCATCTGGCAACGATAGCAGATTTCTTTCCAAACAGATTCTTGTGACCTTGCAGATTATTTTTAAAGGCACACAAATATTTGGGCTTCAGTACGTTGTCCAATTTTGGTATGTAAATAGGAGTTGTAGAAAGTGATGAAGGAACTGGTAAGGAAGTAGATTTGGGCAGAGCAGGAAAACATTAGCATTTTCTAAGAGACTGCAATATAACTCTGTTTGTAACTTGTCCCCCCTGTTTGTTTACACAGATCACAGGTCCTTGGAGGAGCTTATGGGTTAGGTTTGGGTATGACCCTAGAAAACACCCTGAAGCAAAGATTTATCAAGTACTGGACTTCCGAATTCGCTGTGGAATGAAATATGGTAAAAGGGTCTGACCCACTGAGACCACCTCTGCTGTATGCTTAATCCTTTGGTTCTTTTATTTTTGTTTGTTTTCAAACCCTTTTGCTCTGTCTGCTCTGATGGAGAGTGCATCTTTTGAGGTCACTCCTTCCTGCAGTTCTTCCATGAACTTCTTTATTTTTATACTAAGCAGTATTTCTTCCCTCATTTGGCATATTCCAAACCTTATGATCAGCTGTCTGACTTTCCTTTTCCATGCATTCAAAGCCCAAATGATGTCAGCAGGCCATCTTTACTCTTGCTCAGGGGAAGCACTTAGCAGTAGACTCTGTTGCTTGCATGTGCAGGACACCAGGACTCAGGCTGTGGTACATAGGGTTCCTTTGGTGTGATTTTGATCCCAAAAATCAGCCTTTGTTTCACACAGTAGTCCAGCACTTGTTACTGAGCTAGGCATATTCTGTGGGATGCTTATCTTCAGTTCACTGTGGGTTTTCTTTTCTCACCTCTAGGTTACACCCCCAATGATATGCCAGTGAAAGCAAAACGCAGCACGTACAACTACAGCCTGCCCATCACTGTCAAAAAGCCAGGTATGTCGTGCCAGCTGGAGGGCTGTCTGACTCTGCTGTTTCTTTGTTTTACTCCATCCTACCCTCAGGTAGTGAGAAGTGTCTCCTGTGCTCCAGCTGAGCCAAAATTAGAACTCAGATCTTTTCTGTGACCAATTGATTATCTGGTAACGTCTCCTAAGGATCAGCCATGCATGCTCAGTTGCTGGGTTGATCTGCTTTTTGCTGAGCAGCCACGCTGGATCAACACTGGGAGGCAGCAGTACAATGCCACAGTGAATCTGTTCCCAATCAGGTCTCTGTTGCCTTTCAGTAAGTCATACAGTCAGTGTACACGATCTGAAGCAGGGACTTGGTACTCCTGGTGCATCTGGTGCAAAAAAGCCTCCCTCCAGCAGGTATAAACTGAAGGTAAGCATTACTCTCTTACCAGAATACTGAAATAGCATTGTAAAAAGGGACTGTTTTCTGTTTTGGAATTCATTGAGGGTTTGGGTTTCTCTTTGAGATGTGAATGAGTTGAAAGTCACAAGTTTACCTGAAGAGCTGCTATTTGAACGTGTCACTGCCCAGGGAGGCCGTGGAGTCTCCTTCTCTGGAGATGTTCAAGACCTGCCTGGGTGCTTACCTGTGCGACCTGCTGCAGGGAACTGCTTTGGTAGGGGGATTGGACTCGATGATCTCTGTAGGTCTCTTCCAACCCCTACGATTCTGTGATTCTGTGATTCTGTGAACTTCACCTGCTGTTCTGTGAAGGTGTTTTTTACAGGGGATTGCTACTTTTGCTCCAGCCTTAGACTCAATGAACACTTTGTTTCAATTGAGAAAACTGGAGAACTTAAAGGGCAGTGAAGTGCAAAACATCACCATGTGTTTATCGGGTCATACTGCAGAACAAGCAGGGTAAAATGAATATTTAAATAGGAACCTGTTTGTTTTTTTCTTCCTTTTTGCTAGAACAAAACTGCTGATATGCAGTAACAAGCTACTAATGAAGCTGTAGCTTGGATAGTAAGTGTTTTGTGACTAGGGACAGATCTGTGCAAGAAGTGCCTTGTTGTTTACTCAGTACTCTGCCATTACACCAGAGTTGCCCTGTTACACCTCAGAATGCACATTAAATCCTTTCCACTTTTCCTCTTAGGAATCGGTCTATATTTTCCGAGAAGGAGCCTTACCCCCTTATCGCCAGATGTTCTATCAACTCTGTGACTTGAATGTGGAAAGGTACTACACACTGCCAGCTGAGTCCTCTGTTAGAACTAGATTTCAAAGCCTGTTTATATCCACTTCATTACTCTCACTCTCCTTGACCAGAAACTTAAGAGGTATTTGGCTTCTGAATAAAAACAGGACAGACTTCTCACCTAAACTTCCTTTCCCATACGACAGATGAATAACCAAACACGCTTTCCAACTCAAGGAAAGCAAAGTAAGCCACAGTCTGTCTTATTTGAAGCCTGCAACTGAGTGTAGAAGGCTGACATTTCACCTTCTTTTTTGTTGCTTTTTAGCCTACAAAAAATCATCCATCGGAACGATGGTACGGAGTCAGAATGCACGGAGCGGGATGGATGGTGCCTTCCAAAGACTAGTGATGATCTGCGAGATAGCATGTCTCTGATGATAAAGCAGATAATCAGATCCACAAGACCTGGTATGGATGCTTTTGAACCTCAAAATGCCAAGCAGTGTATTACCACTTGTCTGATGACACAGAGACTGCATTAAGATCTTGTCAGTGCTGGGAAAGCAGCACTACTGCATTCACCACCTGTGGTGTTCCAAGCTCTCGTACATTACAGTGTGAGAGCTGAGGCTGTTGTCCTGCCACAGGACGTGGGTTGGAGACTAGGAACAGCAAAGAGTAGAGGTTTTCTTTTTCACTATTCGAGTATCATAGCCTTCAGGTTTGTAACACTATGTGATGAAGAGCACAGCGATAATAGGATGGCAGAGTCTTTAGCTGCAGTAAACGAGGAAAAGCCCAAATGCAGCAGCTGTGGACACAGAAACAAAACAAAGCTGCTTACCTTTGGAAGGCCTCAGGTATGCAGGGATCTCCAGCAAGATACCCTTGCTTCCACTGCTAATGCTTAAATGAGGTCTGGGCAGGGGTGGATCCTGGCTCCAGCCCTTCTGGTCATGCTCCCCTGGGTTGGCCCTGCCTTCCAACCAGGTGGTCAGTCACTGCTTCAAGCCCTCACTTAGCATTTCCACTACACATGTGCAGCCTTAATTGTGATCCTCAGGCTTCTGCCTTACTTTCACTGTTTTATGAACGTTACTGCAAATTTTTTCAGGTTGTACTGAGAGATATGTCATCATGTCTTCTTTTCTTCCTTCCTAATTAAGCTCTTTTCTCAAGTACAACAAGCAGTGAAGATGGCAAAGAACAGCTGGCATATGAGTCTGCAGAGGATGAGGACGATGAAGAGGAGGAGGAAGAAGAAGACTTCAAGCCTTCTGATGGAAGTGAAAATGAGATGGAAACAGAAATCCTAGACTACGTGTGAACTCAGTGAATAGTCTCACTGCTGTTGGACAGAATTTTCTTGGCTCCTGTTCCTTCAGTGCTGATGTTTCAGCAACTATACACAGGGTGTCTGAGAGCAGAACTTGCACTAAGTTGCTCACTACCTGTCTGCACTGACTGTGGTGCCTGCTGATAGCTGTCATTTTGGATGTTCAGGCACCGTGGCCCACACAGCGTCTGGGTGAGGTGCTATGAAATGTGGTTTAGTAGCTTGTGGCAGTAATGGTGATGGGAGGACAGTTGGACTACATGATCCTTTTCAACTTTGTGTTTCTATGATTCTATTTTTATAATTGTTGGATAATAAGCCTTCAGAATATTGCCACTATGGAGATAACAGGTTTTTTGCCAGGCTTCAACTGGTATTTACTGTAGCAGCTCAACGGTCTCTCAAGAAAAGAGAACTGAAACCAGCTGGCAATACACCTTGGAATAGGAGAAACTATGCTCCCAGATCTCTGTAGGAAATATTGTCTGGGTTGATGGCCATATGGAAAATAGAAAAATGGTTTGAAGAGGTTATCATTCAGTTATAGAAATTAAAGAACTGCTGGCATGTTCTAAGTCTTGTGCATTCCTCAGTGTGTTACAAGTGGAAGGTTTATCATCAGTAGCTGATAACTGTTCTAATGCTGTGGGTGCTCCACTTCCAGGTAAGGTATTATCAGGCACCAAGAATAAACACTCTTAGAAATGCGAGGAAAACACCTGAAGCCAAACTTGTTGTCAGCAGTTAGCCTGAGGCCAGAGAAACCAGCAATCTCTTGTGTCAGGGTTTACTTATTCCCCAGCTATTTTTGAAATTCTCTCTGGGAAGAGTGCAGTTACTTGGATTCTTAATTCAGACTTAGCAGGAAATGGCACTAACAGCCCCGTCTGTGCAAGGTAGTCCTTTCATCTTCATAACACTCAGCTTTAAAGTAACCTATGTAGAGGCACAGAGAAATTCTGGTTCTTGGAGCTTCGTCCTTAATAGCTACAGCCAGAGGCACCACACCATCCAGGCAATTTCCACTGAAGTCTGTGCAATTATAAAAAATAAACATGCTGGCTGTGCTAGGAAATGAGCCCTTGAACAGTGAAGGAATGATGTCTCAAGCCAAAGCAGACTGCTATCTCCTTAACGTTGCATTTGCTCTTACAGCCGTTGCACGTGTAAAAAGAAGTAAATAGTAAACCAGATGTCACATTTATGCTACCAGAAAAGGCACCAGTCCCAGCAACACAGATTCACATGAACAGAGTTGCTTGAAATCAGGCATTGGTCCTGCAAACAAAAAAGCTTTGTTTCTTCGTTCAAGCACAAAACAAAGCTCAGCACGATTACCACACAGTAACAGGCTCAAGCACCACCTCCACGATCAGATCCATTCCCCTTTCCATAGGAGCAGGCAAGCAATTCAGGAAGGAAGACAGAACAGCCCCTGCTTTAAGGCAGGGATGTTTGAGGATCGACATTTTATTGCAAAGACTAATTACATTGCTGTATACAAGTCACACTGGGCAGTGTGCTCCTTCACTGAAGTGGTACAAAATACATATGGTACAGCCAGTCCCTCCAGTGATGCTGGGCTTCCAGGGGACACCAACAGCAGGGGAGGGAGGCAATGGGGTGGGCAGGAGCTGGCAGGCACAGAGCAGCATGGAGCCAGGGGGAAGCCCAGGGGTGCTGGCACCCAAAGGCAGGGGCCTGGCTCTGGGCAGGGTGGGAGGCAGGAGGCAGCCCCTGCGTCAGGGTGCCAAGGGCTCCCATCATGTGCAGTGTGGGCATGGTGACCCAGGTGATGCCACCCAAGAGGAAGAGGGCTGGCAGAACTAGTGCCAACCATGCTTATAAACAAGGAGCCTCACTCCACGTGGTTCTGCCACCAGTCCTGCTCCTCTGAGTGTCACTGTGCAGTGTTGCTACATCCCAGCCCCTCTCCTGGAGGCATGGAACACATTTCCCCCCCACACCCAGCAGCACAGACAGACAGGAAACAAAAGATGCGCTGAGAGGAAGTGCTCAAATGCAATGGAGCCAGCAGGTCCAGGGGCAAAAAGAAGAAAAAAAAAAGTCCCCCCTTTGGTTAGTGTTTCCTACAGTCATTAAAACAAGCTTCTCTGCCACTGCTTGAGCGACTAGTGGTAAAGAAATGAGGAAGGGAGAAGGCCAGAGGAGGCGGTGTTGTGTGAGCAGGGCAGAGCAACACTGCTGCTGTGAGTATCCCTCCCAGCAGCCTTAAATAGCAGGGGGAGAGCAGGAGAGGGACTGGGCTGCACGGCAGGGGACTCTGGGTTAGTAAAATGTACAAGTTCATCTCTTCTATTTACAACCAATAAATATTGAAAGAAAAAAAAAAAACCTTTCTTTGTTTTGTACAAAAGAAGTCTCATTGCTGCTTCTCCCATAGTCAGTGTTTGAAAAGTCAGGTTAAAGCCCAAGGTGAGTGGCACTTCCTGTGGGTCAGGCGGTGGCAGCCAGAGCACCCCAAGCTCTCTGACTCCTCGCCTGCCCACGCAGACACAAGGTCTCTATTTACACAAATCTGGACAGCAGTCTGCTCTCCTCCTCCTGGCTCGGCTGGCAGCTCTAGGGGCACTGGGGTGCACGCAAAGCTTTCCTGCCTGCAGAAGGGACACTGGCATTTGATCTTTGGTGCAGGTTTGAACGCGGGCCGGCAGCTGGACTGGGGAGAGGAGCGAGACCACGTGGAAGCTTCCAGTCATCAACAGCAGCCCTGGTCCACGAGGCACCGGCATGGGGCTGCATCCTTTCCAGCACAGCTTCTCCCAGGGCACAGACAGGCGGCGGTGGCAATGCCAGGTGATCCAGGGAAGGAGGTAAACCAGTGCCGAGAAGGGGAGCACCCATCCCAGCTCACGTGGCAGTGGCTCATGGCTGCTCCTCGCATAGGGCCCCTCCAAGCCGCCGCTCCCCGGCTCGCGCGGACACAAGGCACCTACGGCAGAGAGGTGGGCTCCTGCTCTGGGCAGGCCGGTGGCTGGACGAGTGTCGCACCGTGGAAGGTTTAAAAAGAAAAATAAAAGAGAGAGAAATTCCTCCCTGCTGCCTTCCTGTGTAGAAAAACAAAAGACCTGATTGAAACGGGAGCTTGCGCAGAGAGAGGCGGAAGGGCTGCCGGGTGCCGAAGCTCTCGGTGCGGGTGAGCATCACTCCTGGCTCTGCCAGCAGCACCAAGCCTGCCTACAGCCTGCCCCCAAGGCCCCGTTGGTGAGAGGTGGCAGTGGGGCTAAGGCTAGAAGATGCCTTTGGCGATCTTCAGGCCTTTCTGCTTCATCCTGGGCAGGGTGGAGCTGGAGCCGTGTTTGATCTTCACCCCCTTGGAGAAACCCCGCTTCTTGAGCACGAAGTCGTAGTTGGCGGCGGAGTTCATAGCATAGAAGACATTGGCGTTGTCGGGGATCTTCAGCTCTGGGAAGGGACCAAGCATGGAGTCAGCTGGGCAGTTTGTTCCCACCCAGAGCCCAGACCAGGAAGAGAATCCCACCCCCATACTCACCTCTATCCTCTGAGATGATCTGAACGAGCTCGTAGTCTTCAGGCCGGTCCCCATCCAAGTTGTGTTTGGCCATGGCCTTGCGAATAACAACCGGTGTCTTATCCTGGCTCGTCACCTATGAGCACACAGCATTGTTAACCACCATTTTGCACAAAATGGTGCAACATCCCCCACCTCCATATCCTCCCAGTGTGAGACATGCCCGCATCCAAGCGTGACGAGCCTCCAAAGCCCAAAAGTAACGCGGGTGCTGGGTGCTAACCAGGATGCTCTTGTACATGTTGCCATTGTCCACTGCCAGGCTGACGCGGATGATACAGCAGTCGTCGACCTGCTGGTTGTAAAGGGGCAGCGAGAGGGACGAGTAGCTGGAGATGCCGGAGACGGAGCGCTTGTGAGTGCGAGATGCTGTCACCGGTGTGGAGGAGACGGAGGAGGATGAGGCACTGCTGGAGCCCGAGCCAATGCCCGACGTGTCCAGGGAGGAGAGAGAGGTGGATTCCCAGAACTGGAGGGCAGGGAGGAGAGGGGATGCGGAGGACACAGTGGGTTTAGCTTCTCCATCAGCCACAGACGGGGTGTACGAGTGCTGGGGGAGGGAGGCCAGAGGGATCTCACTGCCCTGTGCCAGCAGGGGATGTACAGCTACCAGAGCTGCCAGACCCTGCTGTGCCAAGGCAAGCCCAGCTCCACCACAAAGAGCAGAGGCCTCCCTCGCTCCCCAGAAGCAGAAGCAGCCCCAGCTCCTCAGCCCCAATGCGAGGCAGGGGCCATCCCCTCTTGAGAGAAGCACCTGTTTCAGGAGCCCTACAAGCTGCCCCATACCTTCTTCTCCTGACAGTCGGGGGACTCAGGGATGAAGCTGATGTTGATCTCCTCCACATCGGAGCTGCTGGAGCCAGCAGAGGTGACGCTGACTGAGTCAGTGGCATCCCCACTGCACAGGTACTGCCCGCACTTGAGCTGGTCAAAGGACTTGGAGTGGGAGCTGCCGCTGGCACAGGGCTCAGTGCTGGCTGGCTGCCGGCTGAAGGGAGAGAGGGGAGGGTGAGGAGAGAGCGGGCCCAGGGAAGGACACGAGGTGCTGACCCTTGTCTCCAACCCGCATCCCACTGAGACAAACAGACTCACTCGCTCCATCGCTTGATGATTCCTGTGTTCTTCTTCGCCTTCAGCGTGTTGCTGGCTGACTCGGACAGTGGCTCAATCTCGCATGACAGCCCATAGCTGGGGGAGAGACAAAGGTTTCAGTGCTCTGTGCAACTTCCCAGTGCACAGGCAACAGCACAGCCCTGCTTGCACTCACCTCTCAGCCTCACTGAGCCGCTCCAGGCTGTGGAACCAGTCCACAAAATGATCCTCCTGAGTGAAGCTGTAGTTGTTGCAGGCTGACTGAAGCAGCTTGATCTGGGCGATGACTTCAAACTCCTGCAGCCAATGGAGGCAGTCAGACCCCCTCCGTCTGCAGCCCCACAGCCCTCTGCAAACAGCCCAGCCCCATGCACCAAGACTCCTAGGAAGGACCAGAATCTTCCCCCGAAGAGAGAGGCAGAGCCTGGGCTCGCACAACGCCAGCCTCCTCCCGCCACCCAGCTGTGCAAACTCTCACCTTCCTTCTCTTCTCAAAGTTGATCAGCCCTCCCTGCAAAAGAAAGAGCCGGCCATCAGTGGGAAGCGGGGACAGATTAGGACATCGTTCCGCCCCGCGCTGGCTGCCCGGCTGTTGCCGCTGCAATGCGTGCCGTGCCCGCCAGGGGGCGCTGCAAGAGCGGCCCATTGCCAGAGCCCGCCGGAGCTGCGCACGGGATGCATAGGGACAACGTCGGCTATGGGATGCACAGGGTGCAGAGTTGGCTATGGGATGCCCAAAGGGACAGCAACAGGGATCAACCCTCCACTTTGAACCGCCAGGCTCTGGGAATGTCTGGGCATGAAGGAGAAGAGGAGGATAGAGATGGAGGTACATACGTCCAGGAAATCCTTCATAGCGGTGTCGAGCATCACCAGGTCCGTGAGGAAGGTGCCGAGATAGGGAATGGTGCCCTGCATCACACCCTGGGG